CTGGGCGGTGCAACCTCCCCTGACAGGAGGTGGCACCGCTTGGGCTCGGTCTCCGAGCTCTGGCTGAGCGGTGCAACCGCCTCAGTCAGGCGGTGGCACCGCTTGAGCTCAGTCTTCGAGCTCTGGCAGGAGGTGCAACCGCCCCTGACAGGAGGTGCAACCGCCTAGAGGCTCAGTCTTCGAGCTTTGCCAGGCGGTGCAACCGCCAGATCCCGAAATTTTGGGAATTGACAGTTTTGAGCTCCAAATTCAAACTGGGTTGGGGCCTATAAATATCCCACCCTTTCAGCACTGAAAGGGCACCCAAAAACCACCGAAATTCTGATTTTACTTTATGATTTTTAGAGCTCAAAAGTGTTGTATGAGTTGAAAGTTCTTCTTCCTCTTTTCTTCCATGTTCTAATTTGTTAAGAGAGGAAAGGAAATTTTGTAAGGGTTGTCTCCTAAGCCCGTCTAAAGGAGTGAAACTGTAAAAGGGTGGTTGGCCTTCGCCTATTGAAGGAAGGCCTCTAGTTGACGTCGGTGACCTCGTCGGTGGAGGAAGCCAAAAGTAGAGTAGGTCAAGATTGACCGAACCACTCTAAATCTCGGTTTGCATTTACTTTGAGCATATTATCGTTACTACAAACCTCCTCAAAAGCTTACTACTTTCTGCACATATACGATTGGGTTTCAAACTTTGCACTTTCCAAATCGGTGTTTAGACGTAAATCAGTTTTATCGTACGATCATCATATTTCAGTTTACGCTTACATTTTGATTTCTATCATAACTGCAAACTGCCTTTATATCCTTGCTTTAACTGCATCTCGCTTAATCAAGTGATTTACGAATTAGGATTTAGACGTAAATCCGTTTTTTTCGTACAAATATCATATTTCAGTTTGCGCCTACTATCTGATTTGAACCATAACTGCAAACTGCATTTATATCTTTGCTGCATCTCGCTTAATCAAAAGTTAAAGTGATTTACGAATCGACTTTCTTACTGAAATCACTTTTATCGAAGAAATGTTTTTTTTTATTTTAATCGTAGGAGTTTTTCCGCTGCACTAATTCACCCCCCCCGTTAGTGCTCTTGATCCTAACAGCCTCTGGGTGGTGCCACCTCCTGTCAGGGGCGGTTGCACCACTTGGCAGAGCTCGGAGACTGAGCCTCTAGGCGGTGCCACCTCCTATCAGGGGCGGTTGCACCGCTTGGCAGAGCTCGGAGACCGAGCTCAGGCGGTTCCACCGCTTGTCAGGTGCAGTTGCACTGTCCAGTCTCGCTCAGAGATTGAGCCCAAGCGGTGCCACCATCGACCCTGGCGGTGCCACCGCCTGGCACGAATTCTGGTCCGAATGGGTTGATCCATTCGGACCAATTTGGGTCTGTCAAGGGCCCAATTGCCCCCAGATTAAGTTAATGGGATCACCTCCCATTCCTAACTTAATCTACATGCTAACTACGATATTTCTTAAGACATTTACTACAACTTGCTCCGGTGCGTCAATCGTTTCTTCCGGCGAACTTCCGCCGAATATCCAACGAACCTTCGGCGATGCTCCGGTGGACTTCCGGCAAACTCCTGGACTTACAACGATCCACTTGGCGAGTTCCGATGAGCTTCTTTGGCAAGCTCCTGGACTTTTCGGATTTATTCCCGTAGAACCTCCGATGACCGTCCGGACTTCCGTCGAACTCTCGAACCCCCAACGTGATCATAGTCTTGACTTCGGCGTAACTCATGCTACATGTCTTACTTCCATCGTAGTTAATACTGCACATGTAAAACAAAACTTTGATCGAGACAATTAATCCTAAGCAATTAACCAAGTTGTCCGGCATGTCATTGGTCCCTCGATGCTTCGTCCGATTATTCGGCGCATCGTCCTCTCCTGCGGCCTATTGCCCAATCGGCCAGTTGACTCCGCAACTCCAATATCCTTGGCATAATACCCGCTCTTCTTGGCCCGATTCCCGAGTCCACGACCCGAAACCTTCTGTCGATACGTCGACCGATCCACCGGCCCGACGTCCAATCTTCTGACATGTGCCTCCGGTACAACATGATTTTTCCTGCTTTAATTATCTCATCCTAATCAAAGCATCCAGCGTCACTCAAAATGCAGATTAAAACATAAACACATATCAAGTGATTTCATCATCAAAATACGAGATTCAACAATCTGCCCCTTTTTTGATGATGACAACCACTTGATGACGGAGTTAAACTTAACTCCCAGAGTTTAAACAAACTCCCCCTATCAATATGCCATATTGATAGAACCTTGAATTCAAATTGACTTCAAGTCATTGCAATATTCTTATGAATTGTTTCGAATGAAACCAAGTGAGACCATTGGAGACATATACACCCGATTTACGGAAGTCGACAATGGTCTAAAAGGACTTGGTAAAAGTTTCTCGGATTGTGAGCTTGTTAATAAAGTTTTAAGATCCATTCCAAAGAGTTGGGACCCTAAAGCCACGACCATTTAAGAGGCCAAAGATCTAAATAATTTTCCTCTTAAAGAACTAATTGGGTCACTAATGACCTATGAATGTCATGTAAAGCTCATGAAGAGCTTGATGATACCCTTCCAAAGAACAGGAAGGATATAGCACTGAGAACACAAGAAGACCACTTGAGAGAAAACTCAAGTGATGAAGACATTGATGATGACTTGGCACTTTTAACAAGAAATTTTAAAAAATTCATTAAAAGAAACAAATTTAAAAATAATACTAAAAATAAATTTGAACCCAAGAAAGATCAAGTAATTTGCTACGAATGCAAGAAACCGGGACACTACAAGAGTGAATGTCCCCAAGCTATGAAGAGGACACCAAAGAAGAAGGTGCTCAAAGCAACATGGGATGACTCAAGCGCATCCGAAGAAGAGGAGCCAACCAACATTGAGCAAGTTCCTCACTATGCGCTAATAGCCATTGGAGATGAGGTAACAAGTTCATTAGACGTAAATTTATCATTTGATGAACTATTAAATGCTTTTCAATTTTTATTTGATGAATGCAAATCAATTAGTAAAAAATATAAATTGTTAAAAAATGAGCATGATTCTCTTATTAGTAATTTTGATAAATTAAAAATTGAGCATAAAGATAGTTTAACTCCATGTACGAAATACCATGATTTAGAAATACTTCAAAAGGAAAATATACTACTTAAGAAAACCTTAGAGAAGTTTGAGGTTGGTAGCAAATCCTTGAACATGATCCTTACCAATAAGGGTCACGTTCATAGAAAAGGCGGAATTGGATTTGTGAGTAGATCTCACCATAATCCAACCACCTTTGTTAAAGGCTCTACCTTGCATGTTTCACCCCCAAAAAAATGTAACTTTTGTTATAAATTTGGGCATGTAGCTTATCATTTTCCATTCAAGATTCAAGAAATGTAGCCCACATAAAATGATTTGGGTTTCTAAAAGAACCTCAAATAACTCAATGCAACATGATAAGTAATTTAGATCGATTTTTAGGCACCGAAAGCCAAATGGGTACCTAAAAATCATCCTTTTTGGTAGAAACAGTTATCATCACAAGCTAGGAGCAAGAGATGGTGCCTTAATAGTGGATGCTCAAAGCATATGACCGGAGATCAATCTAAATTCTCTAAGCTCACTAGCATAGACGAAAGATATGTCACATTCGAAGACAACAACAAGTATAAAATCATTGGCAAATGAATCATAGGTAATAAATCCAACTTCTTTAGCGACGATGTATTGTTAGCTGATAGCTTAAAACATAAGCTCTTGAGCATTCGTCAAATGTGTGATAAATGATATATTGTTAAATTTGAATCTAATCCTTACATTATTGAAAAACCACACAAAAACACATCTATTATTGCATTAAAATAAAATAACGTATACACCAATGATATCAATGATCTTTACAATGAAATGTGTGTATATACATATCAATGATCTTTACACCATATATATACACCATATATATGTATATACATATATAAATAAATAAATAAATAAATATATATATATATATATATATATATATATATATACATATA